CCCCCTCACCCCCCCCAACCCCCCGCTGGTAGGGTTAATCTTCCAGCAGAGCTCACACATCAACACTGCATGATGTTCAGTTTTTTTCAGTAACTTTGTTTCTTTGTTTCTGTCGCTGACGTCGACGTTTAGTTTCCAGTTTTGGCCGGTTCTCCTTCTGACTGGGCTAATTCTGAGCTAGCGGTGCTTTAACTATTGATCCTCCAGAACCTGTTAGAGAGGTTTGACCGCTACAGCAGTGTTAGACGGTCTGACGGCTAACCGTTAGCTTTCCGGGCTACGTGTGTGCCATTCTGCAATTTATTAGAAAACTTTGGTCAAACTATGGTCAGCGTTCTGAATGGGGCTAATCTTTGGCTAAAACTCAGCTAATTGTTAGCGTTGTTGTTTTACTTCTCGCTATTTCTACATACAGTAAACATTTAGATTTATTTGTGCTAATTTATGAGCTAAACCTGAGCAGAAGTTTGAGTTTCCATCCAGGTTTTCTTTAAGCTCCTCCCACTGAGCAGATACCTGACCAATGGCCTGACGTCTCTGGAGCGTTTCTCCATCAGCTTTAAGACTCAGTTTTCAGGCCACTGCTTCCACCATGTGGTGCTGGGCGTCTACTGCAACGGCCGCTACGGTTCTCTGGGCATGAGCCGCCGCCAGGACCTGATGGACAAACCACTGAGCCACCGCACGCTGGGGGAACTGGTGGCAGAGTTTGAGAGCTCCTACAAGAGATACCAGCACACACTGAAGAAGGTACGGGTGGAGGAGGAGCAGGAGGTGGAGGAGGAGCAGGAGGTGCTGATCAATTCTGTCTGCCCTCTCCAGGTGAAGATCGGCCTGTACGTGCCCCACGACCCACATGTTTTCCAGCCAATCGAGTGGAAGCATTTGGTGCTGAACGCCACCAGACTGGGAGCTCAGGAGATGAAGAAGGAGCTGGAGAAACACGGGCGAGACATGAGGATGAAGGTAGGGTTTGCAGACCAACATTGGTACAAAAGATTAAACTGTGAAATGAATTAAAGAAAAACCAAAACAAGTAAAGGTTACGGTTCAACAATGAACAAGGTAGCTAATAGGTAGCTAAAAGGTAGCTAAAAGGTAGCTCATAGGTAGCTAATAGGAAGCTAATAGGTAGCTAAAAGGTAGCTAATAGGTAGCTAATAGGAAGCTAAAAGGTAGCTAATAGGTAGCAAATAGGTAGCTAATACGTAGCTAAAAGGTAGCTAAACGCTCACCAACAAAGCAACTACAACAGTGTGTGTGTGTGTGTGTGTTTGTGTGTGTGTTAGATACTGGTGTTTACACCATGTCAGCTGAAGATGTAGGTCAGTGAGTTTGCAGCTGTCTCTCTCCCTCTCTCTCTCTCCCTCTCTCTCTCTCTGCTCCACTTGAGAGAATGTACATTTGTTATAGATAGTTCCCCCCACACGTCCTGTCCTCAGTGTCCAGTGATTGTTTGGTCAGCGAGGACATTTTTATAAGATGAGATCACGGTACAGTTTACACACACACACACACACACACACTCTGTCACACACTCTGTCACACACTGACCCACATCACAGCGTCACATGACCAGCTGTGGAACACGGTCCACGTCCTGTTTCTGGTTTCTTGCACGACGTTGACGACGACCTCACACTACTGCCAGGAAAACACAGGATACGTGTGTACTTCACCAAGTACTTCACTCAGTTTACTACTGTCTACAACGGTGTACTAGTTAGTTAGTCTGAGGGACTGGCAGCTAGCTAGAGAAAACTAGCTTTAGCCAAGTCAGTGGGGTTAGCTAAATGTCATCTTTAACACCTCTCTAAAGGATTACAATAAAAAGAAAACTATATCACCGCGTCTGTAGTATTGCAGTATATCGGTGTATATTGTATCGTGGTACGTATCGTATCGTCAGGGTCTTGCCAACACACAGCCCTAGTGAAGACAAGGATCAGTACTGGGCACCTGAACATCTCATCCATGGTGGCGCTGTTCTGTCTGTTTTTTTCCGTAGATCCTGAAATCGTCCAGCGCACAGTCACCAATCAAAGAGCGGAGTCGAGGAAAATCCTTATCACCACGGCGACGACAGAGCAGTCCACAGAGACGCTTCCCTCAGCGCAGAGACAAATCGTAAGTCACGGTTCGTCTTTACGTAGCTGCACCACGGGCTTTAGCTTAGCCTAGCTTAGCCTGGATGTAGCTAAAAGGTAGCACCAACGTCCAGCCAACGAAGAAGAAGAGTTAGAAGAGGAAGATCAGAGTGGAAGACAGCAGAGAGACAGTAAATACTAGATTACCAGGTTAGGAGTAACCTCCTGATACACAGCTCCATTCCTCCACTCGACACACTGTGGCGCTGTCTTCCTCTCTGGTTATTTTACCCATTTTTATAACAATACTACAACATGTTTTATTAATTATTATTGTTTTATATGATCAATATATTTGTTTATATCTGTGTTTTTAGATGGGGGTTAATTAAATTAATTCATTCATTAATAGTATATTTCTGTGGGGGGGGGGCGGGGGCTGGAATAAATGAATTGGATTTTAGTTATTTTTAATGGGAAAAATGAAATGGAGACATGAGTGGAACCACAGACCAGTGGAACCACAGACCAGTGGAACCACAGACCAGTGGAACCACAGACCAGTGTTGGTGATGAGCAGATCCGTCTGGGGAGTCAAATATAAATCTGTGAGAGCGACCACTGCTGCTGTGGACGGACCCGCAGGTCGACCTGACAGTCCGACTCCAGAGGTCAGGACAAGTTCAGCCGTGTGTGTGTGTGTGTGTGTGCGTGTGTG